AAGACAAGCCACATAGCGGACAAAAGAGGTTGCAAAAACACATGTATTGAAATTACTTTGTTGATAGTCTGTTTCTAGACCTGATCAAATATTGTCATAGCCTTTGACCTTTTTATAAATGCTACAACTGCAAAGACGAAATTACCTATCCCCTGGGGCAAAAACTCACAATAAATGAATTTCATTCAGTATCAAAGTCGCTACTGAACTTACCCACAAGCCTCTGAAGATGGTAGCCGCCATTCTTCTCCTTGGCGTCCACCCCGGCCTGGTGGTGTTGGCCGGGGCTTCGTGGGACATGTGTAATAACACATGCCTTAGTCCATCGGGCAATGTGAGCCTGCAAGATCGTCCATGAGACAAGGCTTAGCGTTACAAAATCAATGACGAAAAGTTTCGTCAAAAACATAAAACTACATTTGTATAACTATTATTCCCCTGTGTGTAGTTACAGAGAATTTAAATCTCGAATTCTCAAGTCTGTTGAGATGTACTGGTATGACTTTTGGGGGAAAAGGAATTACATGGTTTCATAAGTATACCGGGTCTCTGGTGTCTACATAAAAATACGAACATCTTACCCTATTCTGCCTGCTTACTCTACCATTTAACCTCAAAGTATAGGGCCAACCTGAGACGTCATTCTAAATGTACATAATTTCTCAGAACTACTACTACTACTGGTGGCGTGGTGCAGCCAGCTTTCCTATTCTATTACAGTTACATGTACACGGCAGCTTTGACTTTCCCAATAATTTCTCTCCGCTTTTTCCTTCTAAACTACCGCGTATGCGGCAAAAAACAGTCGCTCTGATTTTTCCCAATAGTTCCCCTCCGTTTCCCCTCTAAATCACCGCATATGCGGTAACAAACAGGTGGAGATACACAAGCTTACAGGTCAGAACAATGCTTCTCCTAACAAGTTGATGATAAAGTAAATCGTAACATAAAAGAAAAAAGTTCGCTTTGAAGTCTTAGGCGATTTTTACAGTGTACAATATTGCATTCATATTTATGTGAATAGCCCCCCTCCCCACCTAATCAACAGAGAAAACAGCGGCCCAACCCCGGGCCAAGTGTTAGCTGATTAATATATGTCCGAGGCGACTTAGATGCATTGAGTTCTTTGTTAGACCCTAAGTGAGCCTCGCTGGGCCACGCCACCGCATATCGTCCTCAGACAGGGTGTGCACAAGTGCCGACAGAAAGTAGTGCGTACAAGGACAAAACATCTAGTTTCCCTTTTAAACCCCTCCTACCAACGGTAGACTGCCGGCCGGCCCAGAGGAACAACAGACACAGACTAAAATGGATGCAGAGCCTGTTGCCATTGTTATTGATGATATCCCATCCTCTCGAGGTCAGTCCTCTGTGCAGCACGATCAGGGTTTGCCTGGCGGAAAGAAAAGAGAGGGGGAGCCAAACCCTGGGCAGCAGGATGCGAAGAAGCCAAGACTAGACAACGGTGCATCTCCAGCATTTGTCCATAAAACTGTGGCAACCGTTGCAGGTGAGCTTAGTACTGTTCCCAATTATATTTACCTTTGCAGTAGGGATGTGTACCTATACGGTGTACCTGTACCTGTACCTGAAAAATGGTTTTGGTACAGGTCCAAAATACCTAATCGTCATGTACCGAGTACTGGACCTGATCAGATTTATACTTGTGTATACCCACATTTTAAGACAAAACATGAAAATCTTGTTGAACGGATGTTGATTTAGCACTGTCACCCATAGTTAAAAATACAAAAAGTCAAAATTAACATTCTGTGTTAGTTGTTCGGTCATTTTTATGTTTTTTTTTCCATAACACCAAATTGTTATTGTCATAAAAATGCCTCCTTTACCTTTGAATTATTAGGCCACTTATTAGGTCTGGACTTATTAGGTCCGGACCTGTACCTGAACCTCTGTACCTGTACCTGAAGTTGTCAATAGGTACACATCCCTACTTTGCAGGTATTGGATTGGATTGAAGTGTCTGAAATACCTGGTAGCTGTCAGTACATGATTTCCTGTTTGTTAACGGAAAGGGATACCGGCAGCAGGGAAATCGAAGCTTGGATAGTGAGTGAGTGAGTAACAATGTCTTAAAAGGGTCTTCTCCTAATGGCTACATGTATTTAAAGAAATGTCATTGAAGTTGTGCATTGATCCAAATTTAAAGGGGCATTATGTAACTTCAGGACAATACAAAAAGTATATTTTCCAGTCATTTCTTTACATAGTAAGTTGACTTAACCCTTTAGTATTCCGAGAACAATATTCAGGAAGAGAAAATGCAACATCCTTACTCCATACAAGCATGCTTAAAAACACTGAATGATCCTGATTCAAAACCTCTCTGGCCACATGCACATATGCCATATATGGCTGATCAGGGCTGAGTGGGGATTACCGCCCAGTGGGGTGCCAGCTGATAGCCTACCAGACCCAAGGAGGTTTGACCGTTACCAGATTTTTTTTGAATTTTGAATGGACAATGACCAGTTTATTGATGCCCAGCAAAATAGACAAAGTTCATAATCATAGCCTGCGTATATAAAAGATATGAGTGTCTGCAAGAAGCTGATCTCTACCTAGCTGACCTGGCCTAGATATGGGGAGTGCCAAACTAATTAGCCACCCAGTGGGGGAACCTACCACTGGATGTTGTTGTTGTTGTACAAAGCCGGTGTCACCGCAAAATGAAAGTGCACTGTTTGTGCGCACAAAATATACGCCAGAAATGTGAAATAATGACGGAAATGTGCTGAAAAGTGATAGTAAATGTTGATAACACTGAGATTTGGTATATTTAGAATATTTGAATTCTTTGCGTAAAAAACTACATGATGCCCCTTTAAGGCTTAAAGTTCTTGAAAATACAGTCAGAACATACAGATAAATTGTTGAATTACAAAGTACTTAAAGCATTCTGTTAGAAATCCTGATAAAATGCAGCATTGACAATGCAGTCTCAGTTTTGCTATGGTAGACTGGCTGTTTTCTGTGTTAACTTCATAACTTGAAAAGCTATGGATGGATCTTCATGATATTTGGTAGGTGAGTAGCGGCTGTGGAAAGAAAGTCAAGTTCGAAGATGGTTCACCTGGTGCTGCGAATGGTTTTACATGATATTTAGTGGATGGGTAGGGGTTGAGAAGAGGAAGGTCAAGTTTGATAATGGGGCCTCCTGGTGGGTACCTACAATACTGCAGCGGAGCTTAAAAAAAATTGAGGTAAAATTTTCTGGAAGTACCAGGTTCATGATTTTTCAGTAGTGGAGTGCTCCATCGAGCTGGGAGTATGAGGTGTAACTTTGGGCCCCTAGCAGCTTTTGGGGCATTTGTTGAAATATATTTGAAGGGGGATACGTCAAGAACTGCTGTTGCCAGACCATCGTGATTTTTGGTATGCATTTCTTCTTTAGTGCTGTATTATGCTGCCAAGTGCTCCACCATGTCTTGTAGAGTTGTTGCAATTTGAATAAGGACAAAGACTCTTTCCCCACTTCAGTTGACAGTTCGATCAGCCAGTCTGCCATTCACTTTCGTAACGTTCCGGCCCGCACTAACGTCACGAGAGCAGTGGGGAGTAACACCACGTGGGCAGCACAGCCACAGCAGCTGCTGGGGAAGGAGGAACTCAGAAAGGTCCAGGAACCTTCTGTGAAATGCTCTTTTTCATCCTTAGGCCACGCCAATTTAATTTGTTGCTTCTCGGATTTTTTTTTATATGGACCAACAGGTCGAAACTAAAAAAAACAAACAGAAAGGAAACCCCAGGATAGCCGGAAATGTTACGATAAGAGACATGAAGTCAACATACCAGGCTGATTTATAATTCAAACAATAAATTTTTAACTTTTAATGAAACTACATTGTTCATGGAAAAAGTAGGAAGAAAGGGACTTTCTTCAACCATTGTGGCCAAAATATGTCTTTCATTGAGCATTTTGGAGTTGATTAAGAACCTAATTTTTTTTTTTGCAAATCAGAAAAAAATGGACAGGCGAATCCGAAAAGCAACAAATTAAATTTGTGTGGCATTACACAAAGCTTCATTGTTTGAAAGTTTTCAAATTTCTCTTAATATCAGCATGATGAAATGAAGTCAGCAACCAAGTCACTGAAAATGCAGAAACTTCCGTAGTTGTTTAATTTTCGTGTGTTTTTTACGGTGACCTCTCCATGGCAATTCCATTGCTTGAAACTTTCTCTGTATTTAGATATTAACACGTTATAACAAATTTAACAATCATATCACTGTGACAATAGTTTCAGAGCCTTGACCACCTTAGATCAAGTTATGAGATGCTGAAGTATGTGTTGCTCGATGTATGTAACTATAGCAAGAGCAAACAAGTATACATCAAGTATATGAAAACCATGAAAATGTACCTCTCTAGATGGTGGAGGAAAAGGTAGCTCATTGCACAGCCAAAGCAAACAGCCAGATGAAGCAATTACAGGACAGAGTTGCCAAGTTGACCAAAGTGTTCAAGGGCTGGGAGGAGTATGCCTGGAAATTCCAGGTTTGTCAACTTTTTTTTCTAAATATTAAGAACGAGTTCAATGGGATATGTTCGTCTCTGGTACAATGCAATCTATAGATTCTAGGCTTGCAATTAATCTGGTGCTTGATGCTGATTTGAGGAATAGAAACTCTGCTAACGCTGTTGAAAACCGCATTAAAAACATGCACTACCACTCAAGTAAGAACTACTTTCATCGCGATACAAAGAAAATGGCCAGGTGTACTTGCCATTTACATGCATCCGCCCTCATCTTACACATCATGCTTGATTATCCTCCGTCTCTGCTGTTGCCGATGTGACTGGAATGCTGACATGTAGGTTAGGCCACACCATCTTAATTTCTTGGTTCTCGGATGCTTCCAAGGAGATTGGTGGGTTGGGCATGCAGAATGAAAACAAACGCTAGGGCTTGAAATACTTCTTTTCTGCATACCCGACAAATTTTACCTGCACCGCCCAAAATTTAGGATGTATGGTCATACTACAAACTGTTCAGAAACCATTGCCACTATGCCTTTTACACTTCTTTCAAAATGTAGCTGGTACCCATCAAATTGAATACACAAATGAAAACTCACATACACCAGGTATGAACCCAGTACATGGACTGGTGCAGGTAGACATCAGAAATACCTGCTAGTGCACAACTTCAATCTTACCTGGCATTAAAGTAACATTCATATGCAGGTGGAATTTCGAGCCCTGAAAAGAAGAAAAGGCATTCTGTTGTAGAGACCCCTGCATCCACTGTTCTGTGCAAAATCTCTTAATGCATGAATAAATCCAAATTTTAACTTAACAGCTTACTGTTCAAGATACGAAGACTCTTGAACCATTTTTGGGATGGTACAAAATGTATGTGCCCAGAATGACACTTGCAAGCATTTTTTTTTTTATTTTTATTTTTTCAAATCAGAAAAAAACGCTGCGGCTAATTCTGGTAACCAAGAAACTGGTGACGATGAACCAGGAACAAGATAAGTTGATTAGAGAACTGAAGAGGCGGCGAGCCATAGGCGGACCAAGGCCGGTGGACGTGGGTGTACAGGCAGACCTGATACCGATACTAACCTTGTATCCTCTAGTTGTTTTTTTTACTTCCGTGTAAGGAAGTATTGTTTTGGGCGGCTGAGTTGGGTTTGTGTGTCTGCTAGTGCTAGAATAGTCTCGGTTGCATGGTGGGTGGGAGGTGATTTTGGCAGTTGATTTGGCAGGGAGGTCACGCCTGTAGGTGACCCAGCACATGCTGGGTGGGTAGTAGGGTAGTGTTTGGAGGAATTCAAGAAGACGTGTAATACCTGATTGCATGTACATGTACATCCCCTCTAGAGTTCTGATCCATCAACAAAAACCCAAAACACTTTTAGGAAGTCTTAAGTCCCCGATTTCTTGTTGTTTCTTTAAATGATTGACTCAAATCAACATGTAGTTTGCCATGTATCCAGCATGTTCATTGTGCTTGGTGAGTGCGTCACAGTTACAGTAGCGCCTCCTGCTGATTATTAACAGTACTGCATGATGAATGAATGGCACAATGTTGACATGCATGAACATTTGTGTACAAACTGTCTTATGCATGATACTTTTTCATTTTCTTCGAATCTAATTGCAAGAAGGGAAATATTTTGTATTCGCTTGCAAATGTAACCTTCTAATATGTTAGTAGCAAAAAGAGGCTTTATGGGGGCAGTTACCAAAAGAAATGTATAAAATACATCAATCTTTTTTATTATTGAACAGCAGCAGCAGCAGCCCACTGCTCAAGTTTTGAGTTCCCAAAGATCAGGTGGATCAACATCAGCACCGAATCCTGCGGTAGGTTTTTATTTAAATAGTAATTCAGTACATATTTGGGCAGTCGATTAACCTTACGATTCTGTAATCAATTAATGCCTTCCAGTACTAAATCGTTATCCATAGAAAGTTGAAGAAAACTTTGCATGTGTCTGAAAAAGTACATGCTTCATTCTGGCTAGGCTGACAACAGTGCCCCCATGCACTCTCCTGTGGTACTGCAGCCGAACACTACTGCACCCGAGCCACCTGCTCAAAAGCAGCCAGCTCTCGTCGGGCTGTACAACTGTGTTTTACAGGTGTGTCAATCAAAACACTGGGGGAATACACGGTATACATAAGGCCACACTAATTCAATCAATTGGCTCTCAGATTTACCTGCTTCATTTTTTTTCTGACTTGCTAAAAAAATTAGTTATTAAGGTTCTGAATCAACTCCATATTTCGGCCCCAGCTGTTGAAGAAACTCCTTTTCTTCCAAGTAGTTACAGTTTTTCCATTTGTCAATGCAGTGATTTTATTAAAAGTTTAAAAATTCATTGTTAGAATTATAAACCAGCCTGGCATCTCGACTGCATGGCTCTTATGATTGTAGCATTTGGAGCTATCGTAGGATGCGTAAGTCAGTTTTTTTTCTCCCTGTTGCTTCATATTTTTTATGAAAGTATCAGAGAACCAACAAATTGAATTGGCGTGGCCTCTAGCAAAATTGCAGAAGAACGTGGCTATATACACTCTAGGAGTGTACATAAAATCTATTTGTCTTTTATATACACTCCCAAAGTGTATATAAAATCTATTTGTCCCCAGAATCTATTTGTCTTTTATATACACTCCCAGAGTGTACATACAATCTATCTGTCTTTTATATACACTCCCAGAGTGTATATAAAATCTATTTGTCTTTTATATACACTCCCAGTGTGTATATGAAATTTATTTGTCTTTTGTATACACACCCAGTGTGTTAAAAATGCGGCTTTGATTTTGAAACAGCCGCATAGCAAGTCGCGTAAAAGGACTTGTTTGGGACACAAAAACAGTTGTAGATTGTGTGTAATTTGTGTTACTCAGAGCGTGGCGTGGAACAACAGCGCCGATACACATTTTCAAGTTAGCGTGTATTATTACTGCGTATTTTCCCCGATTACTTTGCTTAAAATTATGTAGGTTTGCAGGCAGGCGTCTGCGCTGTTTTTTTTTCCCTTTGACCAACGCCAGTATAAGCCGAGGAAGAGCGGTTTATTTAATAGAAAGTCGTCCCAACTTGCGGGACGCTGCGATCTGACTGACGTTCGGAGCAGAGGAGGGGAGGGGGGCACGCCAGCTCCGGACGGCACGGAGACCGGCACTCACGCTATTTTCAACGCCTTCGGGTAACTTTCGGTTCCCAGTTTCCACCTTTTTGCTTGTGGTCTTACTCAGCTCAACGTGGGTCGTTTTCTGAAAGTTGTCCAGTGCAGCCCAAGTTAGAAATCCGTCCCCTAACTTCAATCGGGACGGCGCGGGGCAGCCATGTTGGCCGTAACGTAAATGGCTAGGTTTTGGGCCTACCATGGAGGCTAGTATTTCGGAGTGTATATAAAACCTTTTTGTCTTTTATATACAAACTGGGAGTGTATATAGCCACGGCGATTGCAGAAATGTGCCGGCATGAGAAAGGTCTGTTTTTATCATTATGGTGAGCTGATGGCAGGATTATCATTTACAGTCATGTTCAAATCGCACTTCAGTCAAAGCTGCCTAAGAAGGCCACACAGGAGACCGAGGTAAAGTGGTCTTCTTGGACAGGTGGCCTTCCGAAGCAGGTCGGTTAAGGTTTGTGCCCATGGAAAATACACGAGGCCGGGAAAAGGTGGTTGCTATGGCCAAGTGGCCGGCTTGTAGAGGTAGTCTTTTTTGGAGGGGTGGCCTTCTTAGACATGTGGCCTTTTTGGAGAGGTCGCCAAAGGTTTTTTTAACCTATGGAAGAAGACCGGTTTTACCAATGGAACTGGGGAACAGGTGGTTGTTATGGCCAGGTGGCCATCTTGTAGAGGTGGATGCTTGGCCAGGTTTGACTCAGCATTCGAGAAGGCATTTAGTTTGTTTTGGTAAATGATTTTGGCAGGAAAGAACAGTCAAGAGAGACAGAAGTTCTCAAGTTCCAAATCTTTCACATCCACAGGTGACAGCTGCAGCCTCTAGACAGCAAGTGGTGCCAAAGCCTCCCGTGCCAACCTACAACCAGCCTCCGTTCGTCCAGCGCGTCTCCATGGCAACCGAAGCCGTCGGCCCACAGACGAGCATGCAGCCCACTAACCCCAACGTCACGATCGTCCAGCCTCCCACGCAGGCCCGGAGAAACACGGTGAAGGATCTAATCGGGGCACAGAGGGCAGGTCCACCACAACCACAGGTCGCCACGGCGCCGAAACCGCCCCCTCCCCAGCCTGTCGCCCAGCAACAGGTCGGGTCAGGTCAGAGGGCAACCCCTACAGGTGTGTGCGTGCATTTACTACTGAATACTCCATGTGCAAGTTGCAACATTGTATGGGTGATATTCTTTTGATGCTCACATTCTTTGGACTCAAAGCTTGCACCATTGTCAGCTGAGTTTGTGGGCTTTGGTTGTTTTTTCCGGGAATTTTGGCCGCCTTAATTGCACGTGTCCTGTGTCCCGTGTCCCGGTGTTTGGTAGGTTAGTCGAAGATTGCAGAAGCAATTAATATTCATGAATAGAGCCGTCATTAATATTCATGTTACGGACGATCTACGCTCTGATTGGTTGACCTTAAATAACCTGTGTTTTGATTGGCTAGAGACTCAGTTCAAAGTTAAAAGTTCACTGCCCACCCACACAACACCGCGGAATTTTCCACTTTCGGGAAGCTTCCTCATGCGGCAGTGAAGGAAGGCTGCTTTCTAACGTATTTCTACGACTACCTGGCCACGGAGTGAAAACTTTAGTGGTTTCATCACGAAGTAGTTCGCAATCATTCCGTGCCTTGCAGAAAAATCTGATGCCATGGCTCGCCAACGTACAAGTTCCGTGTTTTACCGCGTTTGTCTAGTCGCGGGCGCAGGTCATTGACCCTCGGCTTGCGTTCGGAGAGAAGAGCAAAAATATATCTGGCAGTTTTGGCGTCGGATTTTTGTTTGGTAAATAATACACGGGCATCCATGCTATTCCAAATAGTTTGTAATTATGTGAGTGTTCACTAAGAAAGGAAACTGTTGCCTGGAATTATGTGAGTGTTCACTAAGAAAGGAAAATGTTGCCTGATTGGCAGTAAAAACATTTGTTCTGCCAGCCAACTTTTATTAGTCCTCCACTCTCCCTCCCCTAATTTCGCTCCGGCCAGCTTTTTAAAAAGCTCTCTTGTTTAGATTATTTTGGGAGTGGCTCTAAGTCTAACTTTTTCTTGTAATGCAAGACTGTCAGGTACAGATTCTTTCTAATGTGCTTGTGGTTTGCTAAGGGTCGCTTGGAATGCTTACGCATGTTCACCTCCACCTACAGGTGTCCCTAACCCTCCCCACAACATCCCCACCCTGGTGCACCACCTCCAAACCCCTCCCCCTGTCCGCACCTACCACCGACCCAGCACAACCACGCGCAACAGCAGTGTTAGCTCATAACATCAGTATCGCCAACCACTACAAGGTGCAGTTGCCATTACTTTGTCTCGTGTAACCATCTTTAGGCCACACCAAGTAATTTTTATGGATGACGTCCTCTGCTGACCCTAAATCTAATGCGAGAACTGAAAAAATCAAGGACTGTAAAGAAACAAGAAAACTAAATTAGGGACGACAAATGTTAGAAAACGACTTGAATGAGACAACACACTCTAACAACCAACAAGTATTTTACTCATCATGAAAACAGCAATAAATCAGTGGAACATCAGTTGTTGTCCTGCCCTATTTCTATTCTTTCAGCACATCTTCCGATCTTTTGTGCCCATGCTTCCAAAATCATATCCACTTGCTTGAGTAATTGCTTATTAACTGGATGTCTAACCTTCACCGACGTTCCAATCTTTTGATTTGCAGCACTGTAGTGTCTCTTTGGTCACAGTTACAAAAGCAGACTATCTTTTTTTCTGTGAACAGGCAAAAATCAGTACGCTTGCGGACGTCATCCATATAGATTACTTGGTATGGCCTAACACAATAAGTACAAGCTGCATCAAACCAAACGAAGTTGTTTGATCCTCTAGCACTGGGATAGACCCCTACACCTTTTTTCGCATCATTTGTTGTACAAGATCTGATCATCTGTGATTAATTTCAACAGAGGTTGGCAAGAGACTGTTGAAAACAGTTCTTCATTCAACAACCAGTAGGTTGACAAATGGACATCAGATTTGAAAATCAGCTTATACAAATTCGAGGGAAAACATGCTTCTTGGGTGCCCAATGCAATTGGCATCTGAAGAGAGCCAAGGCTGAAACATAACTTCATGTATGTGATGGTCTGTTTGTCTGTGTTCTTTCAGCTCCTCCTACAAGGCAGAAACCTCCGGAGAAAGCCCGGGTACCGTCTCAAGACACGGCCAATGTGAACGCAGTGATCGACCTCACCGAAGATGCCGAGGAAACAACCAACTCTCAGGTACAGGGAGAACATAATTGGCATGTAATAACACAGTTGGTAAACCAATGGTACATTTGCATTGGACGTTTAGCCTCTACCAGGCTACAGAAGTGGCTGGAAAGAGTAGAAACTGGTCAAATATACAGAATGCTAACATGCCAGGTGTTATGGGTTCCCCCATCAGATTTAGATTGGCCCAAATTAGGTTAGCAGCAGGGGACGCTAGAGGGGGCAGACCAGACTTAGGCAGGGGAGAGGTAGCACGTGTGGTCTCAGTAGCTGTCATAGAATAGACAAAAGATCATTAAAAGAGTGTTTTTGCATTCAAAACAGTCCACTCCTTGACACCAGGGGAGATGGTCTGCAAGAGGAATCTGATATGACAACTTTCACATTTGGTAGAATATGGGTATTTATAATCTACATCAGAGTATTATAGTTGAATTTGCTGTTACTTAGTGTTAGCATGAAAGTTCATCTGCGTTGGTGAGATACATAAATTTGCTGTTGTTTGGATGTAGGCATCAGGACGGAAACCGTCCGGTGCAGGCCCCCCTCCCCTCCTGAAGGCGGTGTCGGAGCCCTCGCCTCCTCCTAACACCGTGGCGCCCGCTGCCCAGGCCCGACCCACGTCTCAAGTCTGCCCCTTCAACAACCCGCAGCAGGCGGCGCCGGTCAGCGTCAACACCAGCAGGAAAGTGTCCGAGGTCTTGCAGGCCATCATGAACACCGCGCGCAACATCCAGGCGCCGCCGAACTTCCGCACGGTCACCACGTCCGTGCAGCAGGTGGGGCAGAGCCTGCACACCCTGCCCTCGACCGCCCCCACCTACCGGAGACCCCCACTCCAGGTGCAGAAACCATCTTCGTCCCCATTTTTAGCTTACTAAAAACCTTTCTTTACCTACCATCCACTCTAATGCTGAGGTCACATTTCCAAACCGGGGCCCAACTGGGGAGTCTCAATTAAGGCAAAGTCAACAATTTATATCAAGAATATATGCAAATACTTCCCATTATTAATTTTTTAAACATTTTTGCTTTGTTGTCTCTCATATCATGATTATACTTTTCGTTCCATAAGACTGCCCGGCTGGGCCCCGGTTTGGAAATGTGACCTCAGCATTACTTGACCTTTATACATAATAGAGACATCCTCTCAAGCTACATTGCTGCTTATTGTTTAAGAATGACTTTTACACTTATTTTCTTTAATATACTTTATTATTATGTACTGCGTTCAAGTGTGTATTGTACTGTATAATTTAAACCTTCTATTGCCGGAGGAGGAGTTTTCTAATTTGAATATTTGTTTTGTTTTGTTTGTTTTGTATCTGAAACTTTCTGTGAGTCAGCCGTGGCCAGCTGAGTCTGCCAGCACTTACCCAAGTAACGACGTGTATCATTGCCAATACAAAAAAAACAGGTGCTGACCCAGTTGCCGCCCCATGTTCCGCCCCAGAGCTCCGTGGGTTACGTGGGAGGCCAGCCGGTGGTGCCCCACGTGCAGCAGAGAACCGGCACGTTCAGACCGCCAGACGTCACGACGTCTACCTACGTAGTGCAGGTGAGACTGAGCTAGGTCAGGTAACATCTGAAGGGAATGGGCGAATGTAGACATTTTTTATTTTGTCTTTTCCTTTTTGTTTCCTGCCTCTTTAAGCAGGTATTTTGTGTCTTTGAGTATAAATCTTAACGAACAAAACCAGTTAAAAAGGATATGTGGGGTGGATTGAGCCTCAAGCCAACTTACATGCTACGCACAGGCTGGAGCTGCATGGTTTCTTTTTTTTTCTAATAGGAACTTTTTTCAGTCCTATAAATTGTGTGTAATTTAAGGATTAAAATTCCTTGTCTTTTTTTACAAATGCTTGTCACACAACTAATGGAGATCGAAATAAACCGACCAACGAACCAACACATTGCAAAAGTAGGGGCATTACAGTTTATGCCATTACTTTCTCTATAATACTGATTAATAGATAAATCTCTCTGTATCTGCATGTTAACTAGATTTGTAGCAAACAGTTTTAGACCTGTACAAACCTGTAGTAAGTGTGACGGTGTTTTTAGGATTCCCTGTAGTGTAGTGTAGTGTAGTGTAGTGTAGTGTTTGGCCATTTTGTCTTCCTGTAGCCGTCCCGTGTTGTGGAAAACACCCTGAGTCCTGCTATGTGCATGCGGCCGTCACAGCCAGGGAACCCACTGTACAACCACTACTCTGAGGTGCCTGCCTTGGAATACCAGCTTGCCATTGCCGCTTGCTTGCTGCCTTTCCTTCGCTTGTTGGCTATCCTTCGCTTGTTGTAGCACTCCTTACCCCATTCAGACATAAAACTAAACAGGCACAGTTCTCGATATGATACTGATCCAAACCCATTCAGGCATAGAACTAGATAGGCACAGTTCTGGATACGTTACAGACTATCCAGAACCGAGCCTGATCCTAACCCTAACCCATTCAGGCATAGAAGTAGATAGGCACAGTTATGGCTACAGTAAACATGGTGCGTTCCATCCCTACTTTTCTGCAGCCCCAGCGCCACCCCGTGCACAGCGTGGGCGTGCCGCCGGCCAGACACCCGATGCCGCAGACGATGACGCCGTACCGCCAGCCTTTTCAGCAGGTCCGGCCGCCGGCTAGCATGATGCAGGCTCCCCGGCCCACGGGGCCCCCCATTATGAAAAGTGGATAGTCGGTTGTCCTCATCCGCAAAACCTGGTAGTTTTGGCCATTGTGTCTCTACTGGTACTGCAAATGCTGACGTATATCCCGATCCGGTCCTTTGAGTTACCTGACTCAGACTGACGTGTTCTGGTGTTGACGATTGCTGACTAGTTTGGCTGATAACGATACAATGAGCTCTACTGTGACTGCTCC